AGGCAGAGGCAGAGGCAGAGGCAGAGGCAGAGGCAGAGGCAGAGGCAAAGGCAGAGGCGGGAGGGGGGGTCTGGGTCTGTATAAGTTCAAGCCAGATTGGTCTATATAGTGAATTCAAGCTGTGTAGTGAGTTCAAGGCCAGTCAATACTATGTAGTGAGACTCTGTCTTAACATCCTCCCTCCACTGCCACCAAAGGAAGCCCAAACAAAGAGCAATATTTCTTATGTCTTATGAATGTTCTTTCAGTGGGGAACTTGATACTTGGGCAATGCACTAAAATGTTAACTTTCTTTAGTGCTATGAAGAAAAATAATAAGAACGGATTTTCACTGTGTGGCCCTGAACTGGAACTCTCAGTATAGACCAGTAGCCTTAAATTCATAGAGAATCTCCTGGTTCTGTCTCTCAAGGGATGAGATTAAAGGCAAGTGCCACTACACTTAGCCAGCCACCTGAATTTTGGCAGAGGAGTCTAAAAATATTTATTGAAGGGAAGACACTGTTTTGACTAATATTCATGTTAACTTGAAAGGAGCTACAGGCATCTGATGGGAGGGGGTGCTCAGTTGAGAGAAATGATCCCATCAGTTTGGGCTGTAGGCAGACCTCTATGGCATTTTATTAATTAGTGATTGATAGAGAAGGGCCCAGAGTGGAAGAGACACCATGGAGCTGCCGGATACAAATGCTGAAAATTTTACCTGGTAAGTCACTGCCACATGTCGATACAGAGATTAATAGAAATAGGTTAAATTAAGATGAAAGAGTTAGCCAATGAGAAGTTAGAGCTAATGGGCCAAACAGTGTTTTAATTAACACAACTTCTGTGTGATTATTTTTGTTCTGGGTGGCCAAGACAAACAAGGGGCCCTCCTTCTACAGATTGGCACCCATGTGGCCATCTAAATCCATGTAAAACCTGAGAGTGCTTGAAAAGGAATTCTAGACAAAAAATAATACAGAGTTTAACACAGCTTCTTGCTGTTTACTGGCAGCTTGCCGAAGTACCTTTAAGAGAGATTTTCCTGATTTAGCCATAGCAGGAAAAAAGCCACAGTTGTTTTAAAATGCCGGCTTCCTGGGCTATGCTGCCAGGGTGACCTCTGATTCTTTTGGGAGACCAGCTATTTGGATGGGATTTGTGAGCAGACTGCTACAGTCTGCTTAATGGCAACATGGACCAGCTTTGTGTTTGTAACTGGAGTGGTGCATGTGGCTCAGAGACACAAGCAGCTCCACCATGTTGGACTGTGCAAAGTGAGCAAGAAGTACCGTATATATCATAGTAATAGTACAGCTTAATTTTAGACTGTGCAGAGCAAGCAGATAGTTCCATATATACCCTACTAATAGCACAGCTTAAGTTTTAAAGAAGTGGTTATGATTTTAAGAGTGCTCCTGGATAGTAAAGAATTACCAATTCACAATAGAACAGATTCAGACATAAATGGGTCACAGCGTTGGATAAATGTATGTAGGCTTGGAAGAGAGAAGAAAAAGAGTATAGAAAGTCATAAAATAAAGTCAACGATTTAATAAAAAAGGGGGTAAAATCGTTAAAGAGACAGACAGTCTCTTTAACAGACAGTACAGACAGTCATAGATTAAAGGAGTAAATAAAAATAAGCCATGTAAAGCTGAAAAATTCACAGAGATGTCGGATTATGAATATTATTATGTTTTCTTTGAATTTTTTGACTGTGAAGGAGCTAAGCACAGAGAGACATTTCATTGTATGGGCTGTTAAGCTAAACCAGCATGTATATTATAAAGGTATCATGACTTCCACATTTGGGTCTAAGGATATGTTGCTTTGGAAAAAATGGTTCTTCTTTTGTTTCTACAGAGGATGAGAACCTGTGGATTTATTCCAGGCCAATACGGTTTTATAGATCACATCTCCCTGAAAGGTCACCATGAACACCCCCCAAAAATTATGTCACCCAACTGTTGGCTGAGATGAACCTAACACACAGGATACACCATGAAAGACCTGATTAACAGTGCCTGCAATCAGCAGGAAGCAGTATGGACAAATATACACCCATATTCCCAAATATTGTCTATAAATGTTTGTTTACATTTAAAGGTTGATATGATATAGATATGAATAATTTGCTTTGGTATGGATATTGGTTTATTGATACAAATTTAAGGTAAATTTTGTTATGTATATGTGTTTCTGATCTTGATTAAGGTATTGTGTTTGTGTAGATCA